GTCGCTAGCTGCTTGCTGTCTGCCCATCTCATTTAACAGATGATACCCATTTTAGATTATCTGGAGTTAGATGCTGGCGTCCCCCCTCTCCCATATTTAAACTGTCATCCGTCCAAGAAATGTGGAAATGCTAAATAATAGAACTAAATAATAGTACTTTTTTATACAGTTCCAATTGCACTGCTGCACATGTTGACAGAGACGTTTCAAACACAGGAACCCCACAAGGTTGTGTGCTTAGTCCCATTCTCTTCACACTTTTTACCAACGACTGCACCCCCATCCACACCTCCAACTCCATATTCAAATTTGCAGACGACACTACAGTAGTCGGTCTTATTACAGACAATAAGTAGACAGCCTACAGGCTCGAGGTGGAACATCTGAAGGACTGGTGTAAGGAGCACAACCTTGTCCTTAACACCTCCAAAACTAAGGAGCTCATTGTTGATTTCAGGAGGACAAACAAGGAAGTCCATCTCCCCCTCCACATCCATGGAGAAGCAGTGGACAGCGTGGAAGACCTACGGTTCCTTGGAGTCAACATCTCCAATAATTTAACATGGACCTCAAACACCTCAAACCTGGTGAAAAAGGCACAGCGAGCAGAGACGGTTTTTCCTGAGGAAACTGAGACAGGCCAGGCTTCCACAAAAACTGCTGGTAAACTTCTATCGGTCGACTATTGAAAGCACCCTGACCAGCCGCAGAGCGGAAGGACCTGCTCAGCGCATCGTTGGGACTGAGCTGCCCAACCTTCACAACATCTACAGGAGTCGACTGCAGAAGAAAGCCATCAGTATCATCAGAGACATCACACACCGGCCACTCACTGGTCGAACCGCTGCCGTCCGGCAGACGGTTCAGGTCAATAAAGTCACGCACCAACCGACTGAAGAACAGCTTCTTTCCCAGAGCTGTGGCCTCCATCACTCCCATCCCTGTCCAACCACAAAACTCACTATAACTTTGAACATGCACACATACAAACACACTACTTCCCATCAAAGACTGCAGCCAAAAATGCCATATGTTATTTATTTATTTGTATATTTATTAAATATCAAACAGATATTTTTAGTAACTATTTATATTTAAACATTGTAGCTTTTCTTTATTAAATAATCTTTAAAAATGTATTTTAACATTCTGGTAAAGTGCATTTAAGTGATGACCCTGATTATACTATCTCTGCTTTATCACAGCTTTTATGGATGTGTTCTTATTTATGTACTGAGAGACGCCAACTGAATTGCGTTTCACTGATGTGTGATGACAATAAAGATATTCTATATTCTATTGTAAAACAGGCTTTTTCCTCCTTCTTTTCTAGAAAAAATGTTCCAGTACACAAAAGCACGGTTTTCCCTGTAGCTGTGACCTCTGTAGCACGTTTCCCAACATAGTGGGTATTAACTATACTTTTATGCGTAAACATATAAACCCTCCTGTTAGCGAGGTTAGAAGCAGCACCACACTGTCCATGTCCACTGTCTGCACCAAATATTGGCTTCTAAAAGTGAATAACAGATCACACTGAAGTTTCAAGTTTCCTGTCTGAAGATATGTACCTGAAAGGAGTTCAACAGATGCACCGTTTTCACACACCTAAAACACTATTCTGGTGTGATATTTAAATAATGAAATGTCGGTACTATGTCATACACATAATATACTATTGTGTAAATAACCTGATGTCTTTTAAATAATTTACTTACTTTACTTTACCTGTTTTGATTCTTATCCCAGCTTCGATCATATTCAGGTCAATATTTGGATGGAACATCACTTTTCGGTTACTGATATCCCTATAGTACATAAATGATTCTTGGACAGTGACAAAATCACAAACTAAAGCAAACTAACAAACAGCTGAACTGAGCAGCTAATAGAGACACAGGAGGTGGTTACCATAGCAACTTATCAGACTGCTCGCACAGTTTGTTTTCCTTTCCAAACCCTGAGTCACAAACACACAACAGGACAATGATGAATCCTCTGCCGAGACACACAAAGGAAGCACCGACAGGACATGCTAACCCAGAGATGATGACCTCTTCAGCTGACCGCACTAAACCTGTCCCTTATCTGACATCACTTCCTGTTTTAACCCGTACAATAAGGTTAGAAAAATAAGAAGATTTATCTATGACAGAAGAAACTGTTATCAGCTTCCAGACAGGAGGCGACAGCTACTACTCTGAGGGCTTTCTTTGAGTTGTCTCACATGGGCCGTCCCTCTCTCTCTTCAAATCACTTTTTTAAAATGTATTATAATTGGCATTTATTATTTGTATTTACATTTTCTTTCAGTTTAACACTACAAGAGGAGAGATTTTAAAGATGAGAACTGCGGTGGCTGACAGGTGCAAACGCGCTACAGCAGCCCAAAACATTTCCATTCATAAAAACAGATTGCACTTAAAAATACACAAATGTGAGGTGCACTACATGCAGGGTTGGGAGGGTTACTTTGTAAATGTAATCAGTTACTGATTACTGATTACATGGCTCTGAAAGTAATCCGAATATAGTTACAGTTACGTGTCTTAAAAAAGTAACGTAATCAGATTACTTTTAGATTACTTTTGGATTACTTTCTTTTTCCATCACAGATGGGTATGTTTTGGTGAACAAGAGACACAAAAAGCAAAAGGAATGTGTTTTTACTGTTTTAATGGCTTATCAAGAGCACAACTGAAACATCACATCTGAAACGATGTAACAACATAATAAACTTGTTGGGGATGCAGCTTGGGATGTGAGGAGTGAGGACACGCTTAGAACGGGCGTGTCGCCTTCTGTCCTGCCAGTGTTGGCAGGACATGAATTAAAATGTCAAACTCGGACTTCATTTTAAGGACATTACGGCCAGGGGTGTAGAGCTATATTTGTTTAAGCACCGGATTGGCAAAACAGGAGAGTGTGTGCACCAGTCTGCCTTGATCTATGAATTCATGTTCGTGACTCTCACAGTATCTGCTGCCCACAGCTGTTTTATAGAAGGAACACCTCCTTCACTTCATGAAATCTCTGCAGCACCAGGAGGCAGCGGGAGGGTTAACTCAGCCTCTGAGAAGAAGAGCACGCAGTGCCTTTCACGCACCGCCTTCACTGTGTTTACCTTCAGAAATAATCATTAGTAAGGCTAAAGAAAGAGCGACCGCAGGCTGATGTGTTTTAACCACACACACGCGATTTAAACGCAGACTTTTGTTCCTCCATGTTTCGTTGTTATTGTTTCACTGAGCGGACCCGCGATTTTTTTTCAAACGCTTTTTTGGTCCATCTGCGGCGGTAATAGGTTTTGTGGGCTGTGATGATTCGGCTGTACCTTTAGTAATGAATATTAAATGTTGAGAGGAAATCTTTCCACCAATAATTCCAATAAGTAATCCAAAATGTATTCACTTCAGGTTTACGAAAGTAACTGTAATCAGATTACTCGTTTTTCAAATGTAACGCGAGCTGAATACAGTTACTTGATTTTTGTATTCTGATTACGTAACGCCATTACATGTATTCCGTTACAACCCAGCCCTGACTACATGCAAATGAACAAATATATTCACCAACTTAACAACACATGTGCAGTATTTAGAAGACATTCACCAGTTTGACAAAACATATGCAGCATTTACTAAAAGCGCTGCTTAAACCAAACGCTGATGTTCAGGGATGATGAAGTTGGCCAAATGTAACTGTGTCACTGGAAATTTACCTAAAATGTTTAATCGGCTTATTTTAACTATGTGATCACATGACTCCTTCTGATGTTACTGGAGATCTGCTGTAAGCTAGCTAGCTAACGTAGGTAACCTAGTCATTTCAGATATACTGACAAACACTTACTGTTATGAGACAGACTAACTCTGCAACAGAGAAAGTTGTCCAGCTTTATAATCCTGAACGTAACCAAGTGCTCTGGTCCCAGCTGTGTGCCTCACTTTTTAGTATCCCCTGGTCTCCCAGCTGTGTGTGTCACTTTTCAGTGTCCCCTGGTTTCTGTTGTGTTTTGAGCTATTGCAGCGTTTCGTTTAGGCAGCGCTTTGAGTAAACGCTGTTCGTGTTTCGTCAAGTTAGTGAAGATGTTTCTTATTTGCATGTGTTTCGGCACATTTGTGTTTTTATATTTGAATACATTTTGAAAGTGTAGCACGTTTCTCCTAATGGAAGTGTTTTTGGCCGTTGTAAAGGCCCTGACACACCAGGCCGAAATCGGCCGTTTTCGTCAGTCGGACGACGAAGCGTGCCCTGTCGCCCAAACTCAATTTGGTGTGTCCCGCATCTTCGACCGTGACACGCCTTATTTGGCCTTTCATGGCCGACGCACGGCCGATTCGAATCGGCCGTGCGTCGGCCACAGGCAGTTGGACAAAGAAATCACTCTGATTGGCTGTTCAGCTAGTGAATCAGTGCATGAGTAGCGAAACGGTTGCTTGAGAATGTCTTCCACAAGCAACACTCCAATGGCTGATAGCTCCAGTACCGCACGAAACATGTTTTCGATGGACGAGAGTGAAAATGGAACGCACACGCTATTTGTTGTTTGTTTATATCACGTAGTCTGTTCTTCTTCTCTGTCTTCCGGTTGTTGCCTCTTTTGAATGACGAATACACACTACCGCCGCCTGCTGGTAAGGAGAGTTATTGCCACTCAAGCATGCGCAGTTCGTACGTGCTCGGCTGAAGTCTTTGCGGTGTGTTCCAGTGCGACACATGGCCAAGACGCAGGAGAACACGACAACGCAACAGTCGGCGTCGGCGAGTTCTCTGGTGACTGCTTGGTGTGTCAGGGCCTTAATGCGTTTGCACCTGTCTGCCACCATATAGGGAACTGATCACTGTGTGTGCTGAGCACTATATTGAGTAGCCAATATTAGCTAGGATTGATGGAGTGTTAAGTTAAAAGTCCAACAGAGCTGGACTGAGCTGCTAACAGTAGCCTAAACTCTGATAGCAGCCACGAGGGAGGGTTCAGGGTCTCAGCCGTCTCCTACCTTTTCTTGATGCGCAGTTGAACTCCTCCTGACGAGCATGGTGTACTGTGGTGGGATGCGGGTGGTGATAGGGGTGATGGGGGTGATGGGGGTGACGGTGATAGAGTGGATGGAGGAGGAAGAGCAGGCAGGGAGGGACGTGAAGTACCAAACTCTTTGATGTATCCTGGATCCAACTCCCTGAGGAGAGAGGCACAACGTGGTTACGGTCCCTCCTCATGCTGCATGTTGTTTCATCATTTATACACTGGTTTACATTTGAAGCAAGAGGTTTGCTTACATATGTTTATAATGTACATTTCCAAAATAAAAGCGGATCGCCAAATGGCTCAACATTGAAGAGAGGTGGAAAACTCCCAAAACAATTCTGGCTCAGAGCAGATTGGCTAATCTACAACCATCACTCACATGACTGCCAAAATAAAGCAGGCCTGCTGCGTTCAGGTCCGACCGGTTCAAACAGGACTGTCTGCATGTCTGTTTCTCTTTCACTTCACATCACATTCATAATTTGGTCAGAACAGTGGCTCATGGAGCTGTAGTCCCAAGATGGTTGATGGTATCAAAAACAGTGATAGAGAGTACAGGTCACATGATCCTGGCAGTAGAAAAACTCCTTTAAGCCCTTTAACTATCCAAACAAACAGATAAGTAAATTACCTTCGGTTTAAGTATTTGAGCCAATCACCTGTCAACAAACACAAACACACACACGCGCGCGCACGCACGCACGCACACACACACACACACACCCACACACACACACACACACACACACACTCGCACACACACACACACACACACACACACACACACACACACACACACACACACACACACACATGCACACACACAAACACACACACACACACACATTGAATACACAGGTGTACTTAGCGTAGTGACTAATTATTGGTACATCTGTACTTAACCTAACAACATAATGTGTTTGCCACTTGGGGGCAGCTGAAACACGTTGTGGACATTGACATATCACCATAAATAGATTTATTGAACTTCTTGCTCTGTTTTTGTCTTTCTCTACTCCTGAGCTAAATGTTTTCCAACAAGTCTCTATCTGTTCCTGTCTTATAGCTTCTTTAAAGCACCAGTCCAGTATTAGTAGCTGTATTCATCTGCTTTCAACTAGCCTGCTGGCTGGCACCAAAAAATAAGGAAAGGTCCGATCAGAGAGCTGGTGGTCTCCGAACTTATTTCTTGTAATAAAAATAGCAATTATTAAACCAATACAAGGAATCGGAACAAAGATACAAACGTAATAAACTATGGAATGGAAGAATCTAGGACAGTGAAATTCATGGAATGGAAAAAACAACAATGGGAATCAGAAACCAATTTCATATATGAAAGATTGTAATAATATAATACATTAACCGTGCTTTACACTAGAGAGGACGGCAGGATTTTAATTTCCCGTGTTCAGTGAATGCAACAGAGGCAAGCACCGGTGCCAGCAGGGACCGTGTTGTTAGCATCTGGTTAGCTAGCTGCACTAACGGACATACGGAGCTGTTTGTTCCACAACAAGCTGGAGGAGAGTCCTCTCCTCTCAGACTGAGAGGCTCAGGTGAGCTAAAGGACTCTCTGAGTGTTTAGATAGTTCACTTTAGTCTAAGTCAGTGATTCTCAAACTTTTTTCAATCATGTACCCCCTTTGAAAAAAAAATTCAGCCAAGTACCCCCTGATCAACACAAAAACAATTTGTTAAGGAAAAAATGCCTATATAAAGAGGTACAGTACAGCGCTGCACCATCAGTGTCTGATTCATTAAAACAACAACCTTGTAACTGAGAAACACTTAAATGCTACATTTCAAATGTGTACAATCCATCACTAAATTCATGGCAAACCAATTTTAACATCAATAACACTAAGACGACATTAGTTGCATTGAACTGATGTTTTTAATAAGTTGTACTTACAATGTAGTGAGAAACATGGGCTTGTGCTTCACTGAGGATATTTGTTATTGTCAGTGACAGGAAGGCCACTACAGTTATTACACTTCGCTTTTTGAAATATGTGTAACTCTGTTAATATAAAACCCACACTGCTCAAACTTTCTTACTTTTCCTAAAATTGGTATTTTTTTTTTTTTCATTAACATAAAAATAAATCTCACGTACCCCCTGCAGTACTCCAACGTACCCCTAGCGGTCCGCGTACCCCCATTTGAGAACCACTGGTCTAAGTTATCTCAGTGGGTCTCAAACGGTTTGGTCAATCACAAATTATGTAAAAGATTATTTCCGAAGCACACCTTCATACGATCAATTAGTTATAAAAAAAACAAGACAATAAATGAAAAATAGTCATGAAATAGCATACTATATGGCAGTAAAACAAGAATACAGTTTGAAAGGGGAGTGATTTGTAAAATATCCATAAAGAAAAAGAAAATCTGTTTACAGTTCTGTTTCATCTGGGTGTTGAGAGATGTATCCATAGATCTCTTTATGTTGCTCTCAAAGTGCACCAGATTGATGCTTTTAACTTCAACATTTAAAAAAAAAATACACTGTGTGTGTGCGTGTGGGGATTGTTGCAGTAGAAAATTCCACTGTAGCGTCCGGTACCTTAATGGGAAACCCTACATGTTTGAGCACCCTCTATTCTTTCACACACAGTGACGTCACGAGCTACCCACAATGCAACGCGCGCCATATATATATATATATATATATATATATATATATATATATATATATATATATATATATATATATAAATACATATAAATACGCTATTTTCCTGGAGGTGCTAATATCCTGGAGGTGCTAATATAAACAGCTAGGTAACGTACTCAGGCAGAGCGCACTAGGTTTTTTTTCGGAATTAACGACCGAAGAAATCACTGCATGTCTTCGGATTACATCTCTGGACTTGAGGGGTGTGCTCTAGGTCGTTACCAGCGTAAACTAGAGCTGTGTGGGTTGTCGGATTGCCCTTACAGACTGCCTGCAGATGTATGCAAAAACGACTCTTGAAAGTGGCCTTCGGTCAATTTTGGCAGCATCTACGTCTATCTTCTGGAAACACCAGGTGAATACCCCACTTGTCACAATAATATTATCATGCCAATGCATATATGTGGTATTTTAGAGTTGACTATATTGATTAAGGCAATAGACTATGATATTCTGGTTGCACTTCGTGTGAAATGGCGGATACCGGAAGTACGGTGTCGCCCTTGGCCCAAAACCTGTATGTGTGTGTGAAAGAATGAAACGTCAAGCTACCCCACAGCACCCCCAAAAGAAAATCTCTGGCGCTGCCACTGTGGGCTAAGCCCCGAATGTTTCCAGGTCCAGGAAACGCCCCTGGTGGGTACGGAGGAAAAAATAAAGGGTTTTATTTATTTATTTTCACATATTTAGGTATAAAAGACATCAAAAAGTGCACTTTGCATGATAGGTCCCCTTTAATGTTGTATCCATTATGTGTTAAATATACCTTATAAGTTATTATCAGTTTTTGTTTGATTGTTTTTCTGATTTGTGGATTGTTATGTAGTTATTTTATGTATTTAAGTGTTTTTTTTTTATGTATGCCTTGTAATCAAATAATTTCTTAACATGCAGAAAACAAAAAAAAGGAAACAGAGAGAGAGAGCTTGATGGTTGATGGCCACTGATGGTTAGAGCAAGTGAAGTTAGAAGTTCATATAGTACTTGTTGTATATGTAAGGTAACAGCCTTGACAGGCCACTAGGTGTTGCTGTTGCGCAGCAAATTGTTGTTTTTGGTCCATTGTGGGACACCGTATTTCTCTTGTTGTTCTGGGTGCGGCCGCCATCTTGGCGCTAATATTTATATTCACTCCGCAAAAGGTGAGCAGTGTTAATGGCGGCAAATAATTGTACACATTATTATGTTAAAAACGTCCATTTCCATTGGAACATTGGAACATTCCATTTATTTAATTAATGGGTTAGTTTAAATGTTTATTTACCTGTTTGTGTATGTTTGGGAGTGAGATGTTTATGTTTTGTCTGTTCATTTGGTTATTGTATTGGTTAGCATGTAGCTAATGCGCTAATGTTTATATTCACTCCGCAAAAGGTATGTCAGAAGAGCTGCCATTGTGAAGAATAAATCGCTACTCAGCGTCTCCACCACAATCCGATCTGCTGTGTCCTGTTTTCCACCCCTCTGCATAACATCCCATCACCAATAACAAACACAACGCAGAGTCCCGTGGTGTTCAGAGAGGCTACGGGACATTTGGGTTACATCTTTGGTGCCGTGACCCGGATGGTGGTGCTCCGAGACTGCTGAGAAGGAGAGATTGATGGCAGTACCCCCCCCCCACACACTTTGCCACTGTGTTGAACTGTATGTACTAGGCTGGTGAGTGAACAGCTTGTTGGACTGAGCTATTATCATCTGTGTAGCTGTATTGGCAGGAAATTCACCTTCTCCAATATATCCTTTAAAGGCTGTGAACTTTGCTGTTTTCTTTAGAGAAATGTTCCTGTTATTATAGCAACGAATATTAAGCTATTGTTGCCAGTTAATCTCATATATATTCTTATTGAGCAGTGTTCTAGATGTAATTTAATTACGAGCTGATATTGTGCTAGACATTATAATTTGTATTGATTGTTTTTGACTCATTACAATACACTAGAAATAACATTTCCACATAAACACAAGTTAACACACAAACAGATGTGGAGTGCTCGTACAGATTCCCCATCAAAGCTTGAGGCATCAGGCCTGCAACCTCTCCCTGGGCCTGCAATGAGCCTCAACTATGACTCCCCTATTAAAACACACACACCTCTTGAGTGAAGGGGCATCCGCTGACACAAGCACAGCGAACCACCAGCTATCAGTGAGGCCAAAACTCACCAACCAGCCCACCAGGTTTGCAAATGCTTCACTACAGTTTGATACTGAAGACCACCGGATCAGCTGGAACCCCACAGACTCAGGCTTGCATAATACCCCACAACCCCCAATCCTATCACCTTATACTGATCACCGTGTTACTCCAGCTCATGTATCTTCATTTCCAGGCCCTGGAGGCTCTGGGGCAAGCAAAGTACTTTTCTACACTTGACCTCACATTTGGTTACTGGCAGGTGGAGGTAGCGGAACAAGACAAGCACAAGACAGCATTCAGCACACCCATGGGGCTGTTTGAGGCCAACAGG